CACACACACACACACACACACACACACACACAGAGCACTTTCCCCTTCCTAACCACTCCCATCCACCCCGCTCCCACAGGAAAGTCCGGCCAGAGCCGCGCTTGGACCACACGCTACTTTGTATTTTCCAGGAGGGGCTCAGAGTGGGGGAGGGAGGCGGCTGTTGACGAAATGCCTGTTCTCGGTTCTCTGGGCCAGGACCCGTGTACGAGCGCCAGGGCGAGAAGTTGGGGCCCGCGGCGCCGCTCGGAGAGGGTGGGGGGCCGCGGCGCGTGGCGCTCGGGGTGACCAGAGCTCCGCCCCCAGCTGGGGCTCGGCGAGACTGACGCACAGCCGCGGTGGGACCCGCAGTGCCGAGGCAAAGTCGGGTGCAGTTTGAGGAGGGGATTGGACCGGACCTCGGCCAGAAAGTTTCCACACAAACCGTGCAGGGTAGTTACCTTCCTTTCTCACTGTCCTCCTTTTCCTTTCGGGAAAAGTTCATCCGGAGCCAGCCGCGGCTCCCCGGCCCGGCGCGGGCGCCCTGGTGTAACTACCACGGCCGGCAGCCGGCGTTCCCGGGGACCCGCCGCCGCCCCTCGGGCGACCACAACAAAGCTGGCCGGGGAGCGCCAGCCTCTCCTCGCCAGGCGTCCGCGCTCTCTCCCTCTCCTCTCCCCAGCCCGGGTCTCCCCCGCTCGGGTTCTCCAGCTCGCTGAAGACCCACTTTTGAGGCGCACACCAGACGCGCGCGCGCGCCACATACACACCCCCCTGGCTACGTCGGACCCCGAGCACCCCACGACCCCTCCCGACTCCGCCGCGGCCCCCACAGCCTCTCGGGGTGGCCCTTGTCTGCACCTCTTGGAGGGAGTATGCTCTGGGTTAAGCTGGTCTCTTTCTGAGCTGGGGGAAAAATGAATATTGACAACAAGGGCCGTGGATCTGCACGGGGAAGAAAGTGCCACTTGGGGAAAAAAAGAAATTCTAGCCCGGCGGTGGTAGCGTCTGCAGAGCCCGCCGCCCTCAGACGTTAGCAGGGAGATTTCGGGGCGCTGCGATCGGCGCGCAGAGGAGGAGGTGCTGCGGAATTAAGAGGAACAAAAGCGAGAGCGCCATGCCAAACGTCCACGACAGGACCCGGTTAGGCAAGAGCTGGGGGTGATGGGAAAATAAACTAGAAGTAAGTTTAAAAAATAATAAATAAAAAGATCTGAGGCTGTACCGTACTTTCCCTGAGGTTTTCTGCAGTTTTCCTCTCTGCGCTCTCCCTGTCCTCTTCTGTCTCTCTCCCCCTCTCCCTCTCCCTCGCTCCCCATTAGCTCGCGCGCGCGCCCGCGCACGCACACACGCGCGCCCCCGCGCCCCCTCCCTCCGCCTCCCCCGCCGTCCCCGGGGAGCAGCGGGCTCGCTGATTTGCTCCGTCCGCCGGCCCCAGCCTCCCCTCCCCCGCGCCCTCCCCCCGGCCGGGGCCGGCCGCCCGCACTCGCTGCATATCAGAGGCTCCGCGCCGCGCGCTCTCCTCGCTCCCGCTCCCACTCCCGGGATGCGTCTCCGCCGCGCGACGGGCTATGGCCACCACGACTTCCGGGTTCCGTCACTGCGTTCTCCCGCCGCCGACCCACGCCGCCAAAGCCAGGCTCTTCTATAAGCCCGGCAGCAACCAACCTGCCAACACCTACTGACACTCACTCATCTCCCAGAGAGAGAAAGAGAGCGAGCGAGCGAGAGAGAGCGAGCGCGAGTGAGAGCGAGCGAGCGAGCGCGCGCGAGAGAGGGAGAGACAAAATACCTACCAGGAGGGGGGGGAGGAAGTCCAATTTCTGCAAACTATTCGATTTTTTCTTGATTTTTCTCCCCGTTTTTTTTTGAACAATACTTTAAAGAGAGAGTATCCTATTAGCGACATCGCGGGGGCCAAGCTAAAAGGGGGGAGGGGGGAGGAAAAAATTCAAGAAGCAGAAACCCCTCGTGGAGTTTTACTGGAAGAAAAAAAACGGGTCTGAGAGATTCCTCCTCTTCATCATCGTCAAGCATCACTCATTCACTACCTTGACATTCCGGGCTCTGATTGACATCTGGAGTGGCAAAAAGCCATGAAACACGACAGTTCGGTTACATGTGGGCTGCTGACGGGCTGCTCGTAACCTCCAGTTCGGGGGCTTGACAATTTTTTTCTTCTTTTTCTTCTTTTTCTTTTCTTTCTTTTTTTTTCCAACTGAGAGGAAGAGAAGAGAAAGAGGGGGAAAGGAGTATCGAAGAGGAGGAGGAGGGGAGGGGGGAGGAGGAGGAGGTGGTGGAGGAGGAGGAGGAAGATCAGGAGGAGGAGGAAGAAGAGGAAAAAAGAGAAAAAGAAGAAATATCACAGGAAAAAAAAAACTCTTCGTTGTCTTGCCTGGGCTTCCCCCCTAAAAATTAACATATTGGAGAATTGGGAGAAGTCTCCTTGGTTTGGAAAAAAAAAAAAAGGAATCTTCAGCCTAGATCACTTTCTTATCCGGACTGGGATATTAAATAGACGACACATCCAGGAGTTTATTGGAGCGCAGACTGATGGCGCAAAGGGTAGGTTTAAATCTCCAACACTTACCTAGATATAAATCCTCTCCTAAGAGGGGCCTGCCCCATGCCTGCTCTCCTTTCCAGCCGCTGCTGCTCGCTGCTTGATGATGGCGGCCAGTATTTTAAAAAATAGCAGCAAAATTATTCATCGGCTTCTTTCCCCCCCGTGCCTCTGCGTGTGTGCGAGTGTGTGTGCGTGCGTGTGTGCGTGTCTGGGCGCGCGTGTTCCAGCGCTGTGCGAGCGGGCGGGCGGCGAGTGCGTGTGAGTGCTGTGTGTGTGCGTGCGTGTGCAATTGTTACACGCTTTCGCCTCGCTCCAGCTTTTCCCCCCGGCAGCGCGATTCCCCGGTTCTCTCGCCGCCTCTGCCGCCGCTGCTCCCGCGGCTCGAGGCGGGCGCGGGCTGCGTAGGAGCCGCCGCCGGGGCCGCCTCTGGGGCCGCGCTGTCGCAGCCGCTGAGCCTCCACCTAGACTAGCCTGGGCTGCTTGTTTTGTCTCTGAAATTGACAAGGACGCAGGGAATCCGCTGCTAAATAATGTTTCTGGTAACTTTCACGTTCTTCCTCCTACCCTCCGCTCCCTGCCCCCCACCCCCCCACCCCGGGAGGCACTGGCCCTAGTCTTCCCTCGCCCTCGGCGTCCACGTCCTGATTATTAGCGTTTTTCTTCTCTTTTTATTTTGTTTCATTTCGCCTTTTGATTTATTGGATCCTCCGGCGGAGGCGGAGGCGGAGGGGGTGAGGGGTGGGATCGGGGCTTCCTCCTCGCCTTCTCTGCCCTTCTCCCCGGGTAGCTCGCTATGGCTCTGCAGTCTCCGGCGGGAGCGGGGCCTCCCTGCGCCCCCTGCATCCCCGGCCACGCCGCCTCCTCTTTCTCCTCTAAAAGCTGCTCTTGGGTCGTTCTGTTCCATGTAGGATTTTAAAACAAGCCCCCTCCCGGTAACTTTCAACTCCGTTGTTTCGCCTGGTTTGGTTTCTTGTGTGTTTAACTTGTGCTAGGTACTTTTGTCCTTTCTGACTTTGTATTTATCTTTCTCTCTCTTTCTCTCTCTCCCTTCCCCCTCCCATCTCTGCCCCATTTCCTCTCCTGGCTTCGCTTTCTTTCCCTTGCTTCTTTTTCTCTTTCCTCGCTCTGCTCTCTCTCTCACCCCTGCGCCCCCCTCCTCCTGGCCGGCTCTGACAGTACGATGAGCTGCCCCATTACGGCGGGATGGACGGAGTAGGGGTTCCCGCTTCCATGTACGGAGACCCTCACGCGCCGCGGCCGATCCCTCCGGTTCACCACCTGAACCACGGGCCGCCGCTTCACGCCACGCAGCACTACGGCGCACACGCCCCGCACCCCAATGTCATGCCGGCCAGCATGGGTTCCGCTGTCAACGACGCCTTGAAGCGAGACAAGGACGCGATCTATGGGTAAACCGACCCCCGGACCCAGCTTACTGTGTGTGAGTGTGAGCGAGAGTGTGTGTGTTTGTCTTGAGGGGAGTGGACAGCTAAGTGGGGAGCTATTTCTGCATGGGGTAGGGGGCTGCTTGCCTTAGGAAAGGACAGTGGAGGGAGCCAGCCCTTCTGCCCCTGAGTCAAGGACCCGGAAGATGTAGACTCCTCCACTCCCACGGCCCGGTCCTCCAAATCCCACAGCCGGAGTGACTGCGTCCTCAGAACCTTGCCTGGGCCTTCTCCCCAAGGACAGAATTCCTGTCTAAAGGACGCAGGGATGCTTGTTCCAAGCCCCCTAACAGAGGCCTTGACGAAGGGGAAAGTTTCCTGCTGCTGAAGAGCAACTTTTTTTCCCCCTCTTCAGTTTCCTACCGAGGGTCTGGGAGTCACTAAATGCAGCCTGAGCTGGGATCAGGGTTGCTTCTGTCGGCCAGGAAGTCCTAATCACCTCCTTCTTAATTCTCTGTAAATAAAGGGGCAGACCTTGAAGTGCAGCCGGGTGGAAGGGACTGCTGCTTGCCCAGAGCCGCGCTTGGGGGGAGCAGGGGAGATGGCTGGAAATTATTTTCCTTTCTGAGAGAACTCGGGGAGGGGCGGGCGGCACGCACGGTACTAACGCGTGCACCGCGGGCTCTTCCGGCTGAGGGTAGGTGGGGAAGGCAGCGGGATACAGAGGGGAGGGGACAGTGGGTAAACAGCAACTGAGCCCAGAGCCAAAGGCCGCAAGCATCCCCGAAGTGTAGCTGAGCCGCCCAGAGGAACACAAAGGGCATTTGAGCACGCACACTTCCAAGTTTTAAAACACGATTTATTTATTTTTGTCTGCTGCAACGCTGGGAGAAATGTGGTCTTTGGAAGGCAGCCCTTCGGTGTTTAACATTCCTATTATTTTGGCCCCCACACCCGGCCTTTACTAGAAGTAGAGCAAACAAGTTTACAAGGCAAGGGGGTGGAGAGATGAGAAGCGTGCTCTCGAGTTTAGGCAGTGTCACTCCGGTGTGTGGTGTGTGTAGGCGAAGCGTTTGGCCTTGTTTGAAATGCCCTTTAAAGCCATTTTTTATTTCCAAGATACTCCCTTTCCAGGGAGGTCAGTGCTGGGTCGCTGGGGTTGGTTCTTGGCCTCCGGTGCTGAGGGAGCCTGCATGAACTCCGGGCTCCACGCTGCCTGAGTTTCTGGGCTGTTTCATTGCGTTCCAACTGAGGGTGTTTTTTTTTTTTTTCAATTTGGCGGGCAAAAGTGGCCGGAGACTTCTCTGACCAGATCTGAGGGACTTCTGAGCCGATGGGAAAAAGGCCAGGCTGTGTTTCCTTTCTGTTTCTGACCCAGGCTCGGCTGACTGAGGAAGGGTTGGAAAGTGTGGTGCGTGCCTGTTGTGTTAAAGAAGGACTCGAACCCTCCAAACTTGTTGATTACAGTTCTCGCTCCTTCCCCTCTGCACCCCGTCTCCGTGTGTGTGTCTCTGCGTGGCGCTGCCCGTTAGGCACCCGTTGTTTCCTCTGTTAGCTCTGGTCTTTGAGAAGTGCGAGCTGGCGACCTGCACGCCCCGGGAACCCGGAGTGGCCGGCGGAGACGTCTGCTCCTCCGACTCCTTCAACGAGGACATCGCAGTCTTCGCCAAGCAGGTCCAACTTTCTCCACCCGCCGCCCTCCCTCCCTTCCCTCGTAGCTTCACCTGAAAGGAGGGAAAGGCCGGGACCCCAGATCCGTTCCTCCGGCCCACTCCGCCATCTGCGCCTCCTCCCCATCCCTGAGCCTGGGGCGAACTGGAAGCTGAGATAAACGTGGGTGTCTGTCCCCCCACCCCCAGCCAGGAACACCGGGCCCGACCCTCGAATTAAAGTTGACCTGCCCCTCATCTGGGGCTTGGCCTTTTCCCTTGCCTGCAGCTACTAGAACAAGAATTGGGGAGAGGGGCAGTGGGGGACGGGGAGTGCCCGGAGCCGAGGAAGCTGGCGCCTCGGAGTGGTCTGCTGGAGGCACGGAGGCCAGGGAGGTGCAGAGCCCCAGCCCCTCGGATCGCTGGATCAGGGGGTACTGCGGGCCGAGAACAGCCCTGAGTTGCTTGCTACAACTCCGTGGTACCTGGTGTTCCTTCATGGGGCCAGGACCCGAAGGCCCTGCTTGGTTTTCAGGCGATCCCACTGATTTCAGCCACCAGGTTGCTTCGTGTGTTTTACCACAGTCGCTTCCCTCCAGTCCTCCCCCGGCCCCATTGGCACACCGCGTCTCAGGGGTAGCAGGGTTTGTCTTTTCAATCCGACTAATTCATGCTGACTTCCCCTGCTTCTTATAGGTTCGCGCCGAAAAGCCACTTTTTTCTTCAAATCCGGAGCTGGACAATTTGGTAAGGCTCTCGGTTTTGTACTCTTCCCCAGCTGCGGGCCTCTCCCCTGCCCGGGAGCACCTACCGACCCGGGGAGTCCCCGGGAGTTCGAGCAGCCCCCCCTTCAGGAGCTGTAGGGCCATAGGGAGGAAGGGAACGGCTCAGAGCCCAGTGAGGGAATGGCGAGCAGGCGGCGTTTTGCCCTCGAGGAGGGCGAAGTCATGGAGGCAGATCCTGGGGCGAGAGGCGAGAACTCGGGCCGGGGCGCTTCCCAGGTCTCGGCCTCCGTAGTGAGCTGCAAGAAGTGAGTTGTTTCCTCTGCTGGCCGGGCGGGCCGCCGACCCGACCCGGGCTGCTAACCCTAAGGAAGTAACCGCGGGCCGGGCCTCGGAGGGCGGGCTGGGGATGGGGGCTGGGGTGAGGGCCAGGCCAGCGCAGGCCACTTTTAGGTGCGATTCTTTTGCTAATTTGCACGATTTCAATATTAAAAGTACTTAAATCCGCTTTCAAAGGCCCAGCCTCGCCATTCATCTTGAGTATTTCCTTCTTTAGAGAGGACGGATTTCGCTGGGTTTGTGGTTCTAAAAAGCTTTTTCTGTCCAGAGGAGCGACTTTTTTTTTTTTTAATTTGGCCTGAGTCGAGGGAGGGGACTGTGAAAGAGGACTCAGGCGGGATCTGGGATCTGAAGGCCTAGTCCGAGGAAAGCAGTTTTTACAAATAAGTCGCACGGGGAACGATATTAATATGAAGCTCAGGTCGAGTCCGATTCCTACCCCGTGGCCAATGAGGCATCGATGATCAGTAATCACTTGGTTTTGCTGAGTATTTCTTGATGTGTGGGTTTTGCCTGGACACCTGCTCGGTTGTTGTCCCCCCCCCAGCCCCCCTGCCCCGCAGTCCAATTCACTCAACTTCCCACCCCCACCCCCCACCCCGCAGGATCCCAGAGTCACAGAGCCCTAACCCCAAGCTGTTAAACTTTCTTTTCAGATGATACAAGCAATACAAGTACTAAGGTTTCATCTTTTGGAGTTAGAAAAGGTAAGCCGGAAATAACATTCCACTCCCATGTTGATTAAGCCACGACTCCTAATTGATTGGGATATTTTCAGCAAACCTGCAGTAGGAGGGATTTCGTACCTGGAGATTTTGAACATGTTTCCACCTCCAGTTGCTCAACCCCGGGGCTCGGAGGATGAGTGAATCAGGGCAGCCCTGCCTTTGAAAGCACCCCTCTTACTTTTCCCCCCTAAACGCTCAGGATTATTTTGAAATGAACCGACACTCTCTGCTTGTGTCTCTGTTAGCTCTGCTCACCTTGGGCCCAGAGTTCTTAAGTTAGGTGCAAACAGAGGGAATCATGCTCTCTGGGTGTCTTTACAGGGCTCTGCAGTTCACTTTCCCTAGCAAACAAAACTCCTGGCTTATGAA